AGTCTATTATTGTTAATTACAAAAAAATTGTAATATATTGTAGTGGAAGAGACCTTGAGTAGAGCCTTACAAGTGTATCTGAACCCAACTGGATTCAGATACAAAAAAAAACTGCAAATCAGGTCCAAAAATTCTTCGATCCGATGGGCTTCACTCATGGGGAGACCTTTTCAAGAACCATATGGTCTTTCTACTGTTACAATGTTCCTTCGATCCATCTAGTATGATTCTCTTTGCCATGTCTTCTATCTCGAGATATTAAAATTTCCAAATAAAAAGTGCAAGTCAATTTTGCACGTCACCACAGCTATTTGTTAAAAATTTCGATATCTCAAGAACAAACACTCGGCAAACCAAACTATTCTATTACTCATGAAGTTGAGCACCCACACCCATAAAGATTTTCGGCTACTAACATATTCTAATAAGACGTTAATGATACATGATTTGTCTGGGAGACACGGAGTGCGAGTCTTTATCCTCTATACTGCAACATTTCTTTTAGAACATATTTCACAAAATCAAAATAGAACATTTGCAGGTGCACTGAAGTCTTGTCTTATCGAATATGTATTCATTTCTCAAAATATTCAAATTACAATAAACTTATTACAAAAGATTTAACTCTGAAGATCTTATCTCTCGAAAACTTTTTCAAGAGCTATATTCAAGTGGAAAATATGCTTATAAAAATATAAAATTAAATTTCACCTTGTTATATTGATTAGCCCATGCTTCATGTTTGCTTTTGTCAACGCAAAATACATAGATGGAAGTTATTTGTGGTAATTGATGAATTCGAGGGATAAACTTTTTTCCTAATTGAGCATTAATAATAAATATAACTCTATCATCATTCGATAATGATTGAATATAATTTTCACACAGTTCTTCATCCGAAAATATTTTTAAATAATGAATTGATGAGCGGAGTTCTACTTGAGTAAGTTGTTTCTTTTGAATATTTCCAGTTGCATTATCAAGCCAAATAAGAAAATATGTTTCTAAATTTTCTTCGTTAATACTCATTGAATTTCTTTTTTCATTTGTAAAAAAATTATCAACATGAAAAAAAAAGAATAAAAATTTTCCTTTGTTTTCGTTTCTCTTTCTACTATATAACTTTATTATTAGGCGTTCTTTTTAATTCAATACATTATCGAGCACATTGATCGACAATAGCATTATAAAATCCATAGCAACAAAACACAGAACAATGACGAGAGAAAAAAAAGTTCAAAACATCATTGAATAGAACAAATGAGAATCATTTTATGAATATATATTTAGAAATCTTTCTTATATTTTTCTGTTTACAAAATATTGTTAAAAAATAAGCATAGATAGCAATAAAGAATTAAAAAAGACACTAATATTTACACATGGACCAAACCCAAACCGTTTGAACTTGATGAGATTGAGTTCAACTAGAAAAGTAAGCTCGTAATGAGTTCGGGCTTGGTACATGTCCACTAAGATTTAAAAAGTGGTTATCTTAGTTTATTTCAATGCTTAGAAACTTATGATAGAATTCTCGGAATCTAAGAGAAAACAACTGATTATGGTGATTTAATTGATTTTTAATGCGTTAACATCATCCAAGTCGTTTCGATCGCCAAAGCAAGTATATATTTTTCTTGAAAACCTTCTATAACAATCATGTAAAAAAACGGGTGTGGATGTGGGTGGGTGTGGGTGTCATAGAAGAAAAGATTCACACCCACACCCTGAAACAAGTAAGAGTGTTCCTTTGAATAGTATATAGTTTTGTTTGTCTTTTCTAACATGAAGCATTCAATCCAATAAATACGAATCGTAACACACAACTCATATTCTTCCAAGATATATCAATATCCGAAAAACGTAATTATGCTTTCAACTGCCAAAATGAATTAATTGCATCACTATCGATAGAGATCAAACAACATTAGCAGATAAATCTAAGACATCCTACACGACTTTCGTGCCAAAAGCTTGATGACAAGATAAAACAATATGAAATTAACGTTCAACCAAATTAACAGTTACATCTATGACAGATTCACCGTTTCCATCTACACTTCTACCGGTCCATTCCCATCACCAAAATGATCGTGGCAGCAATACACTAATTCTTCAAAACGAGTATTGAATCCATACTAACAAGCAATTCATCTATAACAAACATTCAAAACAAACTGCTTTCCCTATCATATTCCCCATCAATCCAGCTCTAATCCATAGCCAAAAGTCGAAACAATCAGTCCCAATATAACTTGAATAATTGTCAGTAGCAACTAAACACTTTCCATGTACACCAGCAAAACTACACCATCATGATCTATCTACAAATCATACCCCAATAATAAAGAAGAAAAGTTCGTCATAACTAGGCCACATCGATAGAATTTCAATCAGCACAGTCGACATTCATCTATAATACCATTATCTACAAGTATTCACACTCCGTATATTCGAAAATAGCAGGTATTGTGGTAGCTATTACACACCCACACCCAAAAAGAGGATATAAAGTTTGTTGTTTATGTAATCCAATCACTGGTTACTTATTCAAATATGAAATCTATTTAGGAAAAGAAGAAACCAGTGAAAAATAAGTACCTTTGGGCGAACGTGTTGTTTTCAATTTTATCTTTGGTCATTATTGTGAAGGAAAACACCTATATTTCGATAAATTTTTCACTTCTCTGGGATTATTAGAAAAGCTAAAATTACAGAACAAAAAGGCCAGTGGAACGATTAGACCACATCGGGCAGGTATTTCATCGATTTTTTGGCAAGAGAGACAAAATGGAACGAGGGAATTACAAATCAATGATTATATCGAACAGCACTGTCTTCATATGGATGGATACCAGACACGTTTTGTTGGCTTCAGATTATCATAAAGACAACAAAGTTGTTCCGATTCCCAGTCGATTGTAAAATGGTCAACGTTTGACAATTAACTGTTTAACAGTAAAAAAAGATTACAATCAGTTTGTGCATGGGGTTGATCGACTCACTCAAAGAATATCCTGCTACAACCTTGATCGCAAATCTAAAGAAAACTGGCTTCGAATTTTTATTTGTTTTCTAAATACATATATTTCCAACTCATTTATTTGCTATAATCAGTTAGCTCAGGATAAATTAACATACTTTAATTACATGGTTTCAGTTGCGCAGTTTCTCTGCTCTGACAGCAGCGAACAAATAAGTCGTGGAAAATCTCCTTCTGAAAAGAAGTCTAAACTAGCATCACCAAAAACTACCCTTGATTTTGACAATGAAATGCATTTACCTGTAAAAGGAACAAAAAGAAGATGTGCTTATTGCAGCACAAAGGAAGCAGAAGTTCGATCCAACATCGAATGCTCTACTTGAAAGTTAGCATTCTGTTTACAAGATGAATAAAAATTGTTTTTTTGCTTATCATAAGATTATCACGTAGCCATTTTGAGTTAAAATAAAATAAAACGATTGAATAATGTTTTTTAATTAAAAAAGTCCGATCTTCAAAGAGTTATTCAACCCTTTGTCTGTCACCGATCTATAAATACGTCTAAATACGATGTTTGAACAAAGTTTTCACGAGCGTATTATTCCTATTCGAATCGTCCCATGGCACCAAATGAAAATACTGTAAATATCAGTTCATTTAAAACATTGTAGACACCAATGACATATTGCTTACTGATGAACGCAAAGCATCCAATGGAGAATAAGTATAAAGCCATAACGAAGTTCCATTTGTAGAACCAAAACGATCTGAATATTTTACAGATTCGATCGCAAATCGATGAAAAAAAAGCAAATATGGCTCGAAAAGAAAATAAACAACGACCTGATGTTGTCGGCTTTGTGTTCTCTATTAACGGCGTCACGATATTTTCAGTCGGATCGGATGTCTGTACTTCTGTCAACTGTTGAGGTGATGCATTATTAACACAGTTATACTTTGGTGTTACGATCCACTGTTTGCTCGATGAATGACCAAATATTCCGGTAATGACGACAAAGGATTTATGTAGAGACACACCATTCATAAAAAGGATATAGAGTAGAATCATATGGATTTCGTTTGGTGTGAATGCCACAACGCGTAACATGGGAAGCACCGTCAACACCATAAAGAGGAAATATGTAGCGTTTGCCATTTGTAACACGATAGTCATTGGCAGTAATAATAGAAGCGCCAGATATTGAAAAAGATTGTATAGGAGGCGAAATAGGAACCAGAAGCACCACAACTTTTTTACCCAGGATATGTGTTTTGTTGGAATGATGCGTGGGAGCAACTTTCGAAGGACCTGCATCGGACCACAAGTCCATCGGTATTGTTGGGAGCAAAAGGCAGCGAACGTCGGTGGTATTTCGTTTAGACACCCGACATTGTTCATATAGACTGAATGCCAACCATTTAGATGGGCTCGAAAAGAGAGATCCATATCTTCGACAAGTGTATCGCATTGCCAACCACCACATTGCTCGATGGCCGATGTACGCCAAACTCCACCCGTACCATTGAAACCGAAGAAGACCGATACTCGATAACTACCTTCTTGTTCGCATTTATGATGAAAATTGAGCCAGATCTCTTGCATACGTGTCAAGAAGGACTCTTTGGCAAGGGGGAAACAACTGACTCCAGCCCCTTGGAGTCAATTGGAGTCATCGGAGTCCATCGGAGTCCTTTGAAGTTCATCGGAGTCCCTCGGAGTCCATCGGAGTCCATCGAAGTCCATCGGAGTCCTTTGGAGTCCCTCGGAGTCCCGTGAAATTCTCGTCAAATCTGGAGAAATCTATTATAGGAAAGGTTTGATATTGACATGTCTTGATTTTCCTATCAATTGTAAAATCAAATAATATAGTTGTTAGTCTTGATTTGAAAATGAACGTACAACATCTATCTCTTCTCTGCATTCAGCACATTCATTTATTCTAAAACTTTAAACTAAACAGAATATCGTTTATTTAATAATAAAATCAAACAAAGTGTTAAACAAGAAAAAAAACATTTATTTATTTTTATTAGCCTGTTGTACTCGAAGTAGCCGGTCGTTTGATAGTTTACTTTTTTCTTCAGTTAATAACCAACAAGCAGTTTGTTTATGTAAATATTTTGTATCATCATTAATTGTAACTTTAAAATAACAATGTTCTGTGTCAGATTCAACCTTACTGCAGATCTTTATTCCAGAAAACTCATTTTTTGTGGTATTTATTGAATTATCAGTATCTTCTTGTTCGTCTTCAGCAGTGTAATCAGCATTCGAGGAAAAACTGTCATTATTATCATCATCCATGTTAAGATCATCTGTTGTTTCATTATCATCATCATCATCATCATCATCATCATCATCTATTTCAAATTCACCATCATCCATATTACTTCGTTGAGATGAATAGTCATACATCTTTGAATTAGAATTTAATTGTTTAAATACATATTCACTTAATAATTTTAAATCGAGAACACGTTTGTTTTTCAGCACATTCAATATTTCTAAGCCATCGAGCATATCAATAGCTTCATGGTACGCCTTGGTAATAATTTGTTCAATATCTATTTGATCAATCTCATTTTGACTTTCTGTACATGATGATTGTCGATCATTTTGATGTTTGTGATGAACTGGAAAGGCCAAATTATTAACTGATTCATCATTCGATTGCTTACATTTAATATCATTCAATAATGAAAGTCTTTGGGCACGTCGTAAAAAATCATATACTGTAAAATTAACTATAGTTGAGTAAATTCCACTTAATGCTCGCGTGTTTCTAAAAATTGATTCACAGGCTTGTGAACTAAAAGCATGAATACACAGTACATGTGGTGGTAGTTGTTTTTGTTTGACAAGTAAAACTAAATATAATAAATTGTGTGCGTTTATTTCAGCCGATAAGTATGCTGGTCTGGTAATAAAATATCTGCTTTTGTTTTCTGTAGATTGCGTTGAATTGAATGTGTTAAATCTAATCCATGTAAACCATATTCTACAAAAAAACACGACACACCAAGCAGATCGAAGTCCTAAAATAAAATCTTGTTATATGTGGTGTTTCTTGATTGAAGAGTTTCTCGCTCTCAGACAACAGATATGATAAATGCATATACTTACGTTCAGCAATAGTTGTTTTTTTCTCAACATAGGCCACTACAATCATTTTTAACATCTGAAGGTAAATTAATGTTCCTCGAGTATTAACATTATCATTTAAAATTTTGAATAGATCAGTAGATGTTAATTTTAAACAGGAACTAAAGTTTTGACGATCCTTAGGATTAATGTCAGATTTTGTTAATCCATGATCAAGTTTAGTATAAATGTCACTATTGATAATATCATGTAAATGGTTAATCGATATAAATTGATTACCAAGGTGTAATTCGGCTGTTGGTGATAATAAACGATTACGCCATTTGGTTACCAAATGTGTTGCGTCTTGAAAAAATAATAAAACCTGTTGTTCACGTAAATAAAACCAAGGCCAATGTGATGTTGTTTTTATTTCAAAAGCTTGTGGATGTCGATGAACTTGAAAATTAGGGAGAGATCCGAAAAAACCACTCATTAATCTCATAGCGCGTACATATTTAGCATCAGCATCTATAAAAAAAGTTACTCTTTTGTAAGATTTGAATTAACAGTATTTAGTTATTTTCTCACCAGTAGAAAAACCAATAATTCTTATATTTCTTTGTAAACACTGGTTGAATATATACCACCATCTTTGTAATATATCATTTGCTGTAGCGGTATTATCAATTCCATATGCTGATAGTAGAAAAGGACTTGGAATAATACTTTGATTTGAAGCTGGAATAGGCTGAACCATATGTACATTGAGTAATGATGCTTTTTCAATTGAATTAAACCAGATTCTCAATGTATCAAATGAATCAGTTTGATAATATTCTTTAATCGGTACTCCACAATCAAGTGGTGTAGAAAACCCATTGAATGTATTTGTTGTTGAGTCATATTTTATTTTTTTAATTATACCGGTAGCATCTTCAGAGCCGAATGCATATTGAATATTAAGTTGATCAAAATGTTTTTGAAGTTGATCAAATCGTAATTCTCCTTCATTAATTTTTGAATCTGACTTGGAAATTAATTTATTTAACATAGTTAAATTCGGTAGAGAGCCTGGCAAATTTAATCGAATGAATTCATATGTTAATTTTCCACCTAGTATATATAATGATAAAGCAAAGTTCTTGATTTGGTCGCTATATCGAAAACCAGTCCCAGACTTTGTTAAATTGCTAGTTATTGTATCAATAAACTCTTTTAAAAAACAATATTTATCTTCATTATTATTATTATCATTATCAATTCGTTGATAATAAAGAACCAAGTTCTTTAACAATGGATGTTTGTTAATAAAATCAAAAGATAAACTAGGATTTGCATCAGCATAACTACCTTCTATTATTTTTTTTTGTTGCCGTTGTTTTAAGAAATCAAGTAAATAATTTATATTATTTATTAATCCAATTTTTACAATAAATTGACCATCATCGAGCTGCAAACATGATTTTTCTCTAATTAATAAGAAACTAGGCTCTGAACATTTCATATTAAATATTTCAAATATATCTGGATTTCGAATTAAAGATTGTGTAGATGTTATTGATTGAAATTTCAAGACATCTACTATTTGTTGTCCAACTAATTGTTGAATAAATGTATAGAATTCTTCATTTTTTAAAGAAAAAAGATTATCTGTAAATGTATCATCCATTGGAAGAAAAAGCACAATTTCTTTTTTATATTTTATCTTAAAAAATAATTAGAAGTATAATAATATCAGTTTAGAAACTGTTTGAAGATTAATATTCACGATATTCTTTTTTATAGAAATTCTAATTAGTAAACTTCTGTTGGTGAAATGATGTATCGATACTTTGTGGAAAAAAAAACATTATAATAAAAGGTGGAATGTCGCTAAAAACAATACAATAATAATCTGGATAATATATAAAGCATAACGTTAGAAGCTATTGGCTGACTATATTCTTGAGTCATGAATCATATCATTTCAAGATGATATACATTATGTTTTCTTTTTTTTTCACACACATCGTCTCTGAAAAGAATTTTTTTATAGATAATTAATAACCAAATATGTTTAAATTAGATGTTCTTATTGATACATCTGTATTACCATCTAATATAATGTTATTACGTGATGAAAAGTTTATTGATTTCGTGAAAGAAGAAGCCGGTGATGCTGCTGCTGAATTACTTGAAATACAAGGCATTAATTGTGTAAAGTCATTGTTGATGACAGCCGATGTTTTTGCAATTATGAACGTTAAGAGTAAAAGTCTTGATGATTTAAAAAAAAAATATGGTTATATGCTAGATGATAATACATTTGTTGTACAACCTGGAGTAAAAGGAAATATAGAATATCTTATTGATTTGTTAAAACAAAAATGTGTTGATGATGCAAAATTAGTTAAATTTTCAAAACGTAATGAATTATTATCATCATTAGATAATACTACAGGTGCATCATCAACAATAACAAAATCAAATTCAATTATTTCATCCAATACGTCATCAGAAACAATGACATCGAAATCTTTTAATTTATCAATTAATGAACATAAAATATATATAATTGATACTTTGAATAACTGGTTTGAAAGTAATAAATCAAAATATAATTTTTCACATTTTACTTTAATTGAGGGTCAACATTACTTTATTTCAATATTAAGTGGTGCAAATGATATGCTAAAAGGTAACATAAAATGCTGTTGCGGAAAATGGTTATCATTAACATTAAGACGTGGTAAATTTCAAATGTCTAACTTCTACCGTCATTTACAAGATTCACGTAATGGTAACATATGTAATACAATAAAAGAAATGAAAAATAATCCTCAATCAACACTATCGTCATCAACAAATAATCAACAATCATTTACACCATCAGATTATGTATCTGAACAAACATCACCATCAACAAATAATCAACAGCCATTTACAATATCAGAAAATGTATATCAGCAAACATCATCACCAAATCGCGTACCTAATATATCACCACCAATCACCATTCAATCAAATTCTACTTTATCTATGCCATCTTCTATCTCTTTATCAATAGATGATGATGGAACTACTATAACACAATCGTCATTAGCAACTAAACGACAAGTAAAAAGAAAAGCTCAAGCAATAGAATCTTCATGTAACACAAGAGAATCAACAAAAAGAACAAGAACATAAGATTTACGTGTGAAACATTATATTGCTTGTTCTTTTCGAATTACTTCTCTAATATTCTCTTATTTAGTAAGATTCTATATCAAATCGATATTTTCTAACTTAATAATTCACTCATTGTATTCATACATGCTTGGTCTATTTCGTAATTTATTATTTTTATGTTTATACATTTGTTTTTTTCTTAATTTGTTTTACATTTTACCCATGATTTTTAAGCAAATATATGAGATGTTGATAGTAATAAAAGCCCTTCTTTTGAGCAAACACTAATTGAATAATTCTCGTATCTTCGCGAATGTTCACATATTTTCACTTATATAATTTCTTTTCTTTGTTTTTAGTAATCAATCGTGAAAAGCAGTAGATTTAAATAATAGCAAGGGCTCTTGAACTCCGCCTATGTATGGAGTCCCATGGAGTCCCATGGAGTCCCATGGAGTCCCATGAAGTCCCATGGAGTCCCGGAGTCCCGGAGTCAGTTGTTTCCCCCTTGCTCTTTGGTATTGGTAAATGTCCACCGTGCTTGAACGAAAGCCACAAGTGGATCTTGTATCAATGTTGGTACTGTTTGTAAGAGAAAGTCAGCTGTTGGTAAAAAGTCAGCATCAAATATGACAATGTAAGCAGCATTCGTCATAAACGTCATGCCATGTTGCATACTGCCCGCTTTGAATCCTTCCCGAATAGGACGACGAATGGTGTCAATTTGTATGCCATTTCGGCTCCACTTATCGACGCACTGATCAACAAGTGCTATAGCTCGTTCATCGGTCGAGTCGTCGAGTACTTGAACAAATAATCGCATTTTTGGCCAGTCAAGATTGCATGCACAATGAATGACGGATTCGCAGCATTCGATTTCATTCATCATCGGCAACCGAACGAGAACAATCGGATAATCGGATACGTTGGGCGGTGATGGTAATATATCCTACAGTGTAGGATGAACTTTGACCGGCAAACACAAACGAAAAATGATTCCTACAAGATATCCAATGATAGTTATTATGTAGAGTATCAAGAAGAATATCATTATTGTTATAATAAGAATTGCAACTACGGATTGCGCTGTGCGGCTGCCATGGGAATGAGTTGAGTTCTGCCTGAGAAAGGCGAATATTGATTGAATTTCAATTGACATTTTGAATCAGGAATAATATTTCGACGAATTATTTATATAAAATAAATCTAAAGCAAAAAGAAGAACTAAGCAACATGACCAAGAAGAAATATAGTGTATGAAAGAAAAGATATTTAGGACTCTTGACTAATGTCTTATGACTTAAGAGAACAGGAAAAATTTAAACAAATAACTTTGTTTGCATTTTTGCTGGAATTTTGAATAAAGGAGGTGTGTCAAATTATGGAATGACCATCCCAAACAAGATCAGCCTAATTTTATTAGCCCGATAATCGACATTGAACTCTGATTATTTTTCACAAGTTTATTTTGCATTTTATTACAACTCAATTTTATGACCTCTAGGGTCCCCTCAGGTTTCGAAAAATTTTTTTTTTTCTCCGTTCCATCAGAAGACTTTCTAGTTCGATAGCGCTATGTGTGCTGATTACAAATATCACACTATTTTTCAAAAGTGCTCGGATAATAAGAAAGATCTGAAGTGCTCTCTGGAAGCCGTAAAATTCAGTTTGGGACTTGAAAGTCCATCAAAATTCAAACTAAACTAGTCACAAATAAGCTTGTTTGATAGAGAATTTCACTCTCTATCAGAATCTTTAAGAACATCTTAGACATTGGAAGTTTTTTCTATAGATAAATGTCAAACACCGCTATGATTGGGTCCCTTAGCACAAATAATGATTTTTCGAGTCTTTCGAAATTATAGTTTTTTCTGGATGCACCAGCTGGATAGTTTTTATTGAATATGCAACTCAATGTGCTCTTTGTGACGACGCCATTTTCAACTTGAAATTCGATGTCTTAAGAATTACTTTTGCTTCCACTATTGTGTTTGACAGTAAATTTGTCTCTTTTTTTGACGCTTTTCGGGCAGAAAGTGCTTTGTTTGACTTTAGAAAAATGTTATACTTGAAATCAGCACAAAAAACTGAATCGACCCGTATATATTGCAAGCTGCTTCTATAACTTTCATTTTTCGGTCAATTTTAGCCCCCTGGTCCCCTCAGGAATGGTCGAAAAATGAATATCATGAAAAAAAACAGTTTCGGCAAAAGAAAAGTGATGCCGGATTTGTAAAATGCTATTTTTAGAGAAAATCAGAGATTTCTAGTCAATTAAATAGTTGTTTTCATGAAAATGGGTGTGAGTGTTGATTCTCTTCACACTCACGCCCACAAATGTTATGAAGAAAGAGGAGGCCTGGAAATCGCTGCATGCCTCAGCAACTCGCACAGGAGCTTTAGAAGTTTATTGTCAAGGTAATGCGTTGTAAAAAGTAAAAGAAAAAAGCGCGCGAATAACTATCAATGAAACAAAAATAACAAAAGAGGGCCAATATATAAAAAAGAAAAGAAAATTCTATTCGGAATGCAGAAACAAAGAACATGTATGAACTGTCTAGAGATCAATCACATTGGACAACAGTTATAGTTTGTTGAAGATACTTCACCTAGTCAACATTCTATAAGTGTAATGAGACTAAGGAATATGTGAGTTCCACATTTCAGTTTCAAAAGAGCTGCGCTAACAAGCTTTGCTATTTATAGTTGCTCTTTGTTATTATGAACAATAAGATAGAATAACACCCTCAATCTCAATACGAGATCCAATTGTAAGTATCGATTTATCAAATAAAACCTTTTTTTTTTTATTTAGATTTATGCGAAAAGTAGACGTAATGGTACGAATATATTTATAAAGTAATACGACTTTTTTCATTTAGGCTTAGCGAACAGCAGATTACTGTGAAAAAAAGCCTAAAAATCGTAACGACGTAAAGGATCTACAGAACTACGACGTTTAATGAGCTCTTTTTTTCACTATATTTGAAATTTTCAGAAACCCTTCTGAATGCACTGAAAAAAATGGTACGATACCGAACCAAAAAAGGTACTTTGAACGAAAAAAAGGTTTCGTACATAGTACGGAACTCAAAAAGGTTTCGAATTCGTTGTAATTCTCTGAACCATTTTAGGTTCGGTACAGACCACTTTGAAAAACTTGAAAAGTGTTCTGAGTCAATGACAATCAATTTTAGTCGCCCAAAGTTTTGTACAAAACCTTTTGAGGGTTTCGTATTGTCTTCCAAATGGTTCCGTAATCATAAAAATTTTTTTGCAGCGTATCCAACCATTTAGGAAGACAATACGAAACTCTCAAAAGGTTTCGTACAAAACTTTGGGTGACTAAAATTGATTGTCATTGACTCAGGACACTTTTTCAAGTTTTTCGAAGTGGTCTGTACCAAACCTAAAATGGTTCAGAGAATTGCAACGAATTTGAAACCTTTTTAGGTTCCGTACTATGTACGAAACCTTTTTTTCGTTCAAAGTACCTTTTTTGGTTCGGTATCGTACCATTTTTTTTTCAGTGTGGGTTTATGAAAGGGTATCTGATTTTCATAAACCATTAAAGGTTTTATGATTCTACTGTATGTCTTTTAGAATACAGTTTAACTGTTACATCCACTTCTGACTCATAAATATTGATCTTCGGCGGACCGGCTGATATGAACTCTGCATCAGTATAGGTTTTATCACTAACCTCAAGCACGACTTTTCCTATACGAGTATATTATGGCATGCAATGGCGGAAACAATATCAGAACACGCGACACGTCCCATCTGTTAAGTGTTCATGACAGCGATGACGCATCATCAAACCACTGAATGCTCAATAATAGAAATTCTAAATTAGTGGTGCTGTTATTGGCTTCAAAAGCAAATTTGAAGCCATAGCGGCTGTATCGCATCGCTACTTTGGTTTCTATCACATGGAACTTGATAAATTCAAAATTTACCAGTGTCTTACTCCTTTCGATGGATATAGCAACAGATGGGAGCGGTATTTTGATTTCAACAGTTCTTTTACTAAGGTTGCTAAAAGCATCATTGAATAATTGGGAATACACTATTTCTCTATCTAAAACTGATCATCATATTCCGCTTCAACATACATGTACTCAAGTTTCTTCCTATAATTGACAGAAAGCTTTCGATTAACGTAGAAACTAGCTTATTGAATATAGAAGTAGTAACGAGTAACACACAAACTCTTCGAACAATACGAACTTTAGAAATATTGAAATGAGTGTCTTGTATGATGGCCTACGGGCTCATGTTCTTTTCATCATATTCTCATATTGTTTCATGGAGTGAGTAGACTGCATTCAAGTGATACAATAATAAATTTACTGACTGCTTGTAATTCCTCGTTTTGATCCAACAATACCTAGGATAATCCTAGAAGTTCAGCCAGTTTTAAGGATAATACCCGCCCTACAGATTCCTTGGCTTGTTTGTTTTTTCTCATATATTCTCAAATTAGCCGGTGAGTCAGGATAAATTAGCCATCATTATTTTCTTCATATTGTTGGCGTCAACGATGATACACTCCGATGCTAAACGCAAATTAAAATGTACTTTCCGCTCTAATTAACTTATGACATCTGTCTGGATAAGTGAAGATGTGCGGTTCAAATTTTAAGCAGGGTCTCTTCTTCTTCGTTCTATCTATTTACACATTTCCTTACGCAGGAACCCTTTATGACTCACTTTTGGTACTTACACATATCTTTGCCAGTTATTATTGTATCGAAACGGTTTTTTCTCAAAACATTCAGCATTGAATTCTCTACAAAATCCTACAGAAAAGATCAACACAGATATAAAAGCTGTTAGCGCAATCCCTTGCGGAATTCAAAATGTGAAACACGATGGATCTATTGTTACTGATTAAATGGAAATCCTTTTGTTCCATTTCTTTGCGACACATTTATAGCTAACCATTTATCTGATGCTTGACAACTACAGTTTCTCTGTCACGGTCTATGATGGGTAGAAAGATTCTCTGTCACGAT